CAAGTTGTCCCAGAACTTCAGAAGAGGCTGTCAAGAGCAGCTGGCCAACCCTTCCCATTCACAGAGCAGAACTACTCAATCAGGAAGGTACAGAATCCTGACAGGTCTCCCACATCAACTTGACAGGAGTATTAAAAACATGGTTTCTTCGCCATAACAAATACTTTGAAGGGTTACGCTTCTCTAAATTGTAGCATCATACCTTAAAGAGTTCTAGCTTTTAGAAAACTATTAGGACTTTATGAGTATGTTATAAATGACCAAATAGCAGGGGCTGCCACAGAAATTCAGAGCAGGGTGAGATCCTTAAGAGGTTAACCATCTAGGGAAGCTCCAAGGAGGAGTCAGAAATTGAAGAACAAGTTGTATCTGAGTGGTTCAAGAGGAAACATCACTAATGAGATAAGCTGTCACACTTGTCCCAGAAACTACGGACAGGCAGAGTTTCTAGTATGACTGGACATTGGTTTTTTTTCTTTTTTTGGTACTGGGGATCAAACTCAGGGCATTTTGCTTGCAAGACAGGTGCAGTGCCACTTAGCTAAATCCCCAGCCCGACACTGGATTTTTAAAAAATCATCTATAAACCAGATGGGAGAGATTCAATTTGATGAAAGGATTTTGATTTTAGAAAACTGACACAATGAAAGCAAAGACTAGCCTAGCAATAGGTGTGTAAGAGAGACCAGAGGTGGAAAGAGAAGGATTTGAGGTGCTTCATAGGAAAACGTCCAGTAATTTTCATAATACTTCACTCGGCTGCTCTATGGAACAAGTGAGCTGATGGGAAATAATGAGTATAAATCCTCAGAAAAAGCAAATCTAGAATTGAATCCATTCCTATAGGATCACAGATAGAAACCTCAACAATTGCAAAACTAGGTACTAAGGGGAGAGACAGTAAAACATTCTTAAACTCTGGAAAGTTGAGGGTCAGTGATACTAAAGTTGAAAACCAGGATTAAAACTTTTAAGCGACCACACAGTCAGTTCCTCTCAAAGTGAGTCAGTGAAGTATGTAAATAAGTGCTAAGTAAGGTGGTTGAAAAGGGAAGAGGGTAGAAGGTACCGGCCCTGAGCTATGTGATGAAACACAACTTATTATCTGGTACCATAAGCACATCTTTCTCCTAGTCTTTTCCTGGCTGCTCAACAATTACCATTTAGAAACGTAAACTTCCATCGTCTCCAGAGCTACTGATCTCCTCCAGCAGCGTCTTCCTTTTCCCCTTTCTTCTACAGCAACTTTCCAGAGCTAAAAAAGAAATTTGAAAAGTTATTATAATAAATTTAAAGCTACAGATGTCAAGCATCTACTGTGCGACAGTTACTAGCTGATGGTATTTAAAATTACAACCCTACGTAACTTCCAAAATAGTTCCTATGAAGCAAGTGCTATTATCCTCATTTTCAAAGTAAGGAAAGTGAGGTCAGGGGGTCAAAGATGCAGCTCAAGGTCACCAAGTAAGTAAATGTTAAATTTAGGATTGGAATCAGGTCTGGCAGACTCCTTGGCCTATGCTTTGAAACTTTCTTTTATACTCTTCCCATCAATAAATATGAAAATCCTCTTTACATGTTTTCGGGATTCTAGGTCATAGGAGACCTTGTCTGAGTTTGAAGATCAAGTTTTGGCAATAGAAAAGCAGGGGGCCTGGGAGTAACCACACCCTTGACTTCAAGTTATAGGACTGAAATCTTTCAATGAGAGAGTGTTTAAGAGGACTGAAAGGGACAGCTTCCCATTCAGCATTCTTGCTGTGTTCTCCTTCAGGCTCTGTCCCTCAGGGTTCATTCTCAATCCTTTGCTAGTTGCAATCCTTACCTCCCCAGTTGAAGGGGGCAGGAAACTAGGATTACCAAACCCAAAAATCACCCACAAGCTGGGAGGGTGGCACAAATACCTCAAGAGAAGGGAGGTATGTGAACTCTAGCCTGTTGGGCCTTGTGCCCTAAAGCAGCCTAAACTCTGCTACAGCTGGTATCTTGGTTTACCTGCAGAAGCAGTTCAGGAGGAGCTCCCTGGTCACCCAGCTAAAGGCTGAGGCCAACAGGTCTAGTGTGAGAAGGAAGAAATCAGAGAAGAGAACACTGGAACCTTTCTTAAGAAGAAAGCTACACTCGTCATTATCACACTGACAAGAAAATTCTAACACGAGTTCTTAAAATTGAGTGTGATAACTTACTTTTGAAGGAGCTGAAGAATACGAATTTAAGTTCTGCTCATGCATACTGTCTAAGTATGGGAGGTGGCAGGGAGTCTGAAGTCTTGCAAATACTACAGGTGATTTTGATACAGTTCTAAGGACAGACCGCATCTTAAGACAAGGCTGCCCAACTAGCAAGTCTGAGAACACAAATTCTATGAGGTCAGTAATGTCAATGCCAGACTCTCAGGTGAGCGGTCACTTTTAAGTATGGCAGTTGCTTTCTAGAAGTTTCCAGTTTCACAGATGTTGAGGCCTTGGTATTCTCCTGTCACCAAATAGACTTTTACATGAGCCCCCCAGGAAAACAGCCTCTCACTGCAGTCCACACTGCAGGACTGCACATGGCACTGTGTAGTCCCACACAGTACTTGTCTACCATGAAGACCTTGGCAAGATGCTATTTCCAGTGCTTAATTTACACTTGGTGTAAGACTATATGTAGACAGCTTTTCCTCACTGCACATCTAGGTGATTTTAAAAGGTATTCTTTCCTTCATACAACTGAACCAAAAGGTTTCTTTCATGCCATTTTAGAAACAAATTTAAAAATGAGACATCACTCAAGTGAAATATTATGGTTATGATTAGGGTGTTTAATTAGACATTCAATCACAATGCAAACAGCTACTGATTATTTAACAAACATACCTTTTCAGAGGCTTATGTTCTTCAAACAAAACTAGGTCATGAAATGTATTATGTTAAATCAATATCACTATCTTTCTCCTAGAAACCTTACCAGTTGTTTTTGTCTTTTTCCAAATGTATGTCCGTAGTTGAAACTATAAAATTTTAGGCTAGATAGTAGAGTTAAGCCCACTTTTTTTCCCTGCAAGTCCTTTCTTTTTTTCCACTAAAGCATAATGATAATTTTGTTAAAGGACAGAAAAGATGAATTTTTAATTATTTTAATCTGAGCACTGGATACTTTAGTTGGCAAATATATGTTTAATTTCTGTATTTATGCACTTGTAGTTTTTAAATCAATTTTTGTTGCTATAAGTTCCACAGGGAGAGGCAATGCTCAGTGGAGAACCTGCTGTCTAGGAAGGCACTCTCATGAAATAGCTTCTCACAAGTATGCATGCAATATTTAAGAGAACTTCGTCCATGCAAAATATTTGATTTCACTTTTTATGGAAAAATGAAAGCTTTCATGAAGACCAAAAGTTAACATTCATTATTTTGCAAAATAATCTGCAATGACAATAATTTCAACAAAGCCAGACCAAACTTTTAACGTTATTTATCAAAATTATACATGCCACTAACACATCCCAACAAAGATTATGTAAGTGAGCTGCCTTGGCATCAGTGACACTGAACACAGTAGCTATTTTCAATCCTTCATTAAAATTAGATCAAGATGTACTCGAATTATGTGGTACTGTTTCTGTAAGGAAAGTTTGTATTACTTTGGTTAAGAGTGACATTTTCTTTTCCTCTTTGTCAGAAGAACCCCCTCTCATTCACATTCACACACACACAAAAGTTTATAGGAGAAAAAAGCAAAACCACAAACACAAACACCTGCCCTGTTTACTGTCTTCCTTGCATAATAAAAGCCCCGCTTTCCCCCTAAACTGAATTTGGAAGGGCTCCCGGGGGCACCTGGCACTGCTCCCCGTGGCTTGGCTCTGGGCTCCAGCCTAGCCCCTAGCCTGGGCCCCGGGACTCCAAACAGTGCGGGAAAGCGGATCACTCTCATAAAATAAACAGTGGGTAATTACTGTTCATCGAAGATAGCCTTTAAGCATTCGTGTTTGAAGACATCAGACTTGAAAGTTACTTCTTGAGCAGAGTGGGGGGGAGGTGGTCCGGGCGCCCGTAATACTCACCGGCCTAGCGCTCCCGACTCTGGCACCACAGAGGCCCGAGCGACCTCTCCAGCGACGTCACGCTTCAGAGCCGGGAGACGCGCTACCTCGGCAGCAGGCGCCCGCAGGCACACGCGGAGCCTGGGGGGGAACCCTCTCGGCCCAAGGTCACGCGGAGCTGTCCCGGGCAGGGCCGTCCACACCTCCCGACCGCCCCTCCGGGCGCGGGTCCCGGGGACGCCGGCAGGCCGGGCCCGCAGCAGCCGGCGCGGAGGTGCCGAGGCTCCGGGCGCCGTCCCCGCCGCCCGCCCCGCAGCGACTCACCGCGGCCGGCCGGTGCCTCCGGCCCTGTGCCCGCCGACGCCGAGTCCGGAAAGCGGCCGCGGAAAGCGCGGACGCGGTGCCGTCCCGCCGCAAACTTTTCCCGGCCGGGGGCGGAGGCGCCCGAGGTCCCGGCGGGGGCGCTGCCCAGGACCGGCGGCCGGGCAGGCATTGTCTCCGCCGTTCGGACCGGCCGGAGCGGAGCGGGCGGGGAGTGGCCGCCCGGCCGCCGCCGCCCACCGCGCTCTTTGTGTCTCCGGCCGCCCGCCTGACAGCTGAGGGGCGGCCGCGCCGGTCCCACGTCCCCTCGGCGCCGCGGCGGAGCCGGCCCGCCCGAGCGAGCAGGCGGCCGCTGACAGACGCCGTCCCGAGGGCCCGCCGCTGCGGCGACCGGCCGGCCGCGCCTCGGCCCCGCACGGCCCCGGAGCCCGCGTCCCCGTCGAGTTACCGCCACCCGGCCCCGCGCAGCTCGGGTCTGGCGGCCGGCGCCGGGCTCCGCAGACAGGCGCGCTCTGTCGGGAACCCTGGGGACCCCGCCCCCCGCCCCGCCCCCGACCCTGCGCCCGCCAATGACCTCGGCTTGGAGGGGGCGGAGCCGTCCAATCCGCGGTAGCGAGGCCCGGCCCGGCCCCGAGAGCGAGCCAATGGGAAGCGACTCCGGCGGGGCTCCCGCCCCGTCCCCTAGGGACCGGCTCTGCAGAGCCCCGGGGGCCTGACCCCGCCGGGCGCTAGTCTGGTCCAGGGGACGGTGTCGCAAAGTCGATGTGGTGCCTAAATTGCGGGGATCAGAGGAGCTGACGTCAACGAGATCGCCGGACACACTTTGGTAGGTCGTCAAAATCCCTACCCTCCACTTCAGAGCCTTTCCTGGCCAAAGTCTGCGCCTGAAAGTGGCCGAAGACGTCTAACACTGTGAAGTGTCCAAGCAGTGAGCGAGGCCTTCCCAGCTGGGCCGCCGCTTCACAGCTCGTCCAAGGGCATCTTCGCTCCTCAGCACGGTGAGCAGGCCGGATCCGAAGCGCAGGTTAGTTTCTGCCCTGCTCTGGGACGCAGATTGTCCTTGGCATTATAAAAATTTTTTTGTCCTTTTTGGAAGAAAACTGCATTGAAAAACGTGAGTTATGCAGGCAAATCACTTCCATCGTGAGCTTTCTTTCTGTAATCACATGAACGTCTTTGGGGCAGGTTAGGTGAAATACCCAGGTAGAGGAACATAGGAAGGTAAGATGTTTGCATACCTGAAAAGTAAAATTGCACTTGTTTGTGTACTTCAAGTAGTCGTCATGCTCAGTTTATTTCTTCTGGTGAAAACTTCCCATTCAACACTTTTTAAAATACATTTGTCATGTTCCTTCTGCGTAAATTGTTTTGATGACCAAATTCTTTTAAAATTTTATTTATGTAATTATTTATTTGTTTGTGGTACTGGGGATTGGACCCAGGGCCTTCACACTGAGCACATTTATTTTTTATTTTTTATTTGAGACAAGGTCTCCCTAAGTTGCTAAATTACCCAGGCTGGGCTTGAATTTGAGATCCTCTTGCCTCAGTCTCCCAGAGTATTGGGATTACAGGTGCGTGTCACCACATTTAGCTAACAATTTCATGTCTTCAACAGTCATCTGTACAGTGAATCAGTTGGATGGAGGAGAATATCAAACAAGAAAAAATTACTATATTACCACCTTGCTTTCATAATTGAAACTCACCATGCCTTACTGCATCAGCTTCAGGGGACAGCCCGTGTTCAAGACTAAGTTTCATCAAAAGATCCAGCTTGAGGATTTTCTTAGAGCAAGTCCTTTAATGAACCAGTAGTAGTATGCAAGGCTCCGCCTACCTCATTGGTGAGGGAGATCCAACCAAGATGGGATTTGTCGCGCTTTTTTTTTCTTCTGTAGGATGTGCCAAGGGCAAAGCCACCTCAAATGTGTTCATGTTATTCTCTGCTTTTCGATCAACATACTTACCCACTAGCAGCCTATTAGTATTTCTTCAGAGTGCACAATTTTTAATATGAGAGTTTTCTCTCAAAATAGATGGGAATGAATATCTGCCTACAAATTCTTATGCAGACAGATACAGTAGACTGCTTACTTCCAAACTCCGTGGGTTCCCAAGGGCTGATTTTAACTCCAGTTGGTTGTAAGTCAATACCGCTGAGATCTGGATGTTTACCTTGGTACACGCTATAGATAACAAGAGGCAGATGAATCTCCCATTAACCTAATTAACCCAAGTTGTTCGTATGTCAGGCCAGTCGTAACGTGAGGGCCCACTGTATTCTGTGCCAGGTGCACTGGTGTATGCTGATAGTCCTGGTTAGGTAGGAGGCTGAGGAAGGAGGATTCTGAGAGTCCCCACATTCAGGGCCCAGGCCTGGGCTACACAGCAAGTTTCCTATCTCAGAAATAAAACCAAGCAGAGCAGCACTTTCAGGAATGTTTTTCCCTCTTTTTAAATAGAGAAGATATTAGGAGAGAAGACTAGAATAGTGTATTTAGGAAAAAATTCTGGATGGTCAAAGTTTGAGAAATTTTGTTCACTACTGATTACTCTCAACATTCTCAAAAACAAGATGCCCAAAAGCATAATGCCCATTTTAGTATTCTATTCATGATATTTTGAAACCTACGCAAGTTTCAGTGACACACATAAATAAATTAATGTATCCTGTGTCTGCTAATGTGCATAGTTTTACATAGAAGTCGTTTATGGCAGGGTCAAATTTACATCCATACAATTAATATGAAATTTAAAATTTTGCAGGCATTTTTAGAGATTCACTTATGGACTTTGTGCTTAGTTTTTGAAGAGGAAATTAAATGTATATTTAAGATATATTTCCATGTGTTATAATGTTAATTTGTTTACCTTTTCTGAAATATGCAATCTAGCATAGAAGTTCATTACTTCAAACAAATGTACATATGGCAACACTAGAACGTGAAATTTACTGAATTTAATTGAACCAGCAGTTGTTATTTTCAACTACTTAACTGCACATATTTTGTTTTCTGAGTGAAAACCGTAGAAGAATTGGTTGATAGCATTCCATGACCCATTATGACTTATTAATATTTAAATGCATTTTATTGGATTCATATAAATGCGTCCTATACTATAACCTCAACAGATCACACTTTATAGCGTATTCTATATGAATGAAATATATTTGCTGGATAATACATAAAGAGCAGGTTTTTCAATGATAAATATCATTAGCTTTCTCAAACTTTTTTTACAGCAGTAAAATACATATTGTTGGTTCTGTATACATCATTTTACTTTTCAGCAATGATCTCCGTATACTGCAGTTTTCTTTTCTGTTTCTCTTACTCATGGGCTTTAACAATATTAAGATAAGATAATTTAAAATACAATTAGGCCTTGTTTGTTTGGTGTTTTTATTCTATTCTGTATGTGATCTGGTGAGAGAGATGTCCAAAGCCAATTTTTTAAGAATTGTAGGGGAGGGAGGAAAGAGGCTTACATTTTTATAGCTCCTTTTTATTTTCCTAATGTCCACATGAATCCACTGAAACAAAACAAAGAGAACAAACAACCCCAGAAGACCTCAGGCAAGGCCATTTGTGTGTTTAGAAGATTTCACTGAAAGCTTGACCTTGAATCTTAGAAATCCATCTTCTGCCTTTTTTTCCTTCCCCTCTTGCAGAAAGTCTACGTGAACTGAGTCATGGTTCGAACCTCAAACCATCTTCTTGGTTCTTGCCCCTTCTTCTCACAGAAGCGAAGGAAATTCCTGTCTGCTTTCCACAGAGAGCTCTTCAGCCACTGTTTAGGATGCTTGTACCCTTCTAGGGCAATCGTGCCCTCTGAGCCACTTGGATAACCCGGTACTTGATTGTTATAGTTTGCAGCTAGAAGATCCTGGGAACCAACTAAGTCTGACTCTTTAATCCAAAAGGAAAACTGAGGAAATCCCCAGACTATGTGAATTTTTTATTTATTAACCACTGTCCAAAGCATGGGTCAAAGCAGTACTTAAGAGTAATTTGGAGACCTAGACCTTAGGCCATAAACCCAGCCTCACCTAACTAGGTTAATTATCTTTTGATCACCACTTAGCCTTTCCATTTTCTGTACAATGTGAATATAACCTATGCTATTAAAAGCACACATAATGGTCTGCTAGTCATATTCACACAAATGAGCTGCTTCCATTTTTATAATGATACGCTGAGAGATAGATAGAACATACGTAATTATTATCATCTTTATTTAAAAGCCGAGAGGATTTAGTGGCCTAGTTGAGTTCCCTGTAAGTAACAGAGTTCAAGATGTCTTTTAATGTAAATACAACACCAAGTGTACCTCCTCTTCCTTTGAAGGAAAAGTCATGAGACTTTAATGACATGCTTGTGAAAGTGCTTTCCTAATAAAGAAAAATAAATAAAAATCAAACACTTATTATTGCTATATTTATTTTCAGATAACTTTGGAAAGAAATCAAACTACATGCAAATGCTTTGGTTAGAGTTCAGGTAATTTCCACAAATGGCACTATACATTATAAAATAACACTTTACATATTAGGGTTCAACATTACAGAGTTTTTCAGTTCTAGCATGCTTCTTTAATTATTTCAGGCTTGCTTTTTGTATCCATCTTATTTATTATCAAATGGTAGTAATCCAAACATTTATTTAGCTAATACCTTAAACACACACACACACACACCCTTTCCTTTTTACATAGTTACTAGTAATGATATTTTCCTTGCCTGTGAGTATTAGCAACACAACCTGCAAGCCTAACACATTTACTTTCCTTTTATCCAGGATATTACCTTAATAGACCTCCTAGCGCATTCTACAGTGGGCCCGATATTTTCCTGAAGTTGTACTGAAAATTAACAATGAATTAGATCTAAAAATCTCTGGCTTCAAATGCTCAAAAATGAGACTTCCTCAAATCATTCATATTCCAGATACCTAATTCCTTTTGTAACTTTCCACATAATCTTCTCCATAATTTTCATTCATTTCTCAAGCTATGAAATTCACAATTAAACACATTTTCTATTGAGTTTTCTGGTGTGCTGAGTCAAACAGTTTTAAATGATACAATTACTTCATCAAAAAACAAGCAAGCATTCGGCAGGCACTATCCTCTTACCAGATCTTCCCTAGAATCTGTGGGACCCAGCGGCACAGTTGTTCTCAAAACATACAAAAAATAATCTATATCATCAATTGCTGTGACAATCATAAAATAATTTCATTGAATATCCATTATACTTGCTTTCATAAAACTGCCATCTATATTCCCCTGGCTAATATTCATGTTTTAGCACGCTAGGGTCCCAGCCCCCATTTTATCATACCCAAATACTTTACAGTTGTCACTTCTCAACATATTTATTTTTAAATAAGTTCATGCTGATTTTTTTCCTATAAAATTGCCATTTTTCATCAAAACAGTATTCACAAAATTCAAGTAAAATCACAACCTTCCTCATAATTAACTGCAACAATTTTTCAAAAGCAAAAGTCTTGGGCTGAGGATTCAGCTCAGTGGTACCGTGCCTGCCTCATAAGCACAAGGTCCTGAGTTTGATTCCCGTACAAAAAAAACAAACAGGAAGTCTTTCAGCCATTTCTGCTTTTACTTTCTGTTTGCAAATAAGTAAGCAATACACTTATTGTTAATAAAATCTGAAATATATAATAACTAATACATGTCTGTATTTATTATTTATGTATTATTATCGGCTTGCCCCTCAGCTGTGAGATGAAGTTTCATTTTCTTTAGTCATTCTCTCCACACCTCCATAGATTTGATCATGATATTATTATTATTATCAGTTTTGCTAGCTGTAATTTAGAAATAATAGATTTGCTTTTCTGTCTCTTGTCCAGTAAATTTGAGCCAGTTTCTTGACATCCTTCCTGGTGGTATCGGCTGTGCTCAATGTATGACTGAAACTCTCCTCACTACCCAAAGCCTCCTAACTCTGCTTACTTGCTTCCCTGGGAAGAGGACAGTACGATCTACTGTGTGTAAACCACTCTATTGTATTTTAAAGGCATCTTTGATATTTTTAATCTACACCTTTTAGTTCACTTGAATGTATCTCAGAAAACAAAACAAAAATGGTGAGGTAAAGTTCTGTGACAATTCTAAGTATGTTACTCAGAAGAAGCCTTTTAAACATACCTAACTTTTTAAAAATGTGATAAATTCCCCCAGTCCCGTACTTATATTTTTCTCTACCCATCTGAGAAAGGTTTTGAGATGTTATACCTGGTGAATCAGATTCCTCTTCCTCCATGAAAATGAAACATAGCAATAGTCTTCATACTGCCTTCACTACACGAGTTGTGTTCGGTTCATCATACCCAGCATTGAAGTATGCTCAGAATATGAGATCTGATCAAAATATATGATGAAATGTATAAATTGAAAAAATTGATTACAGAAAAGACACACTATTTTTAATACCTCCCAAAATGCTCCCCTTCACTTCAAACACACTTATCCCACCATTCTTGCCACTTTTTGGAAGCAGTTCTGGAGTCCTCTTTCATGAGTGGCTTTAGGAGGTGTGTTCAAAACTACGGCCAATGCTGCTGCCAAGTGCCATCCAACACAAAGGAAGGCAGGCTCCTGAAAACACTGTGGTGCATCCGCATGGAGCATGTTCACCGGATCTGACACTGAGACGTCTCACTCTTTCCCAAACTCAAAATGACCATGAAAGGTAATGCTTTGAATCAATTCAGGACACTGAGGCAGCCATGTACAGTACAACTAAAGTTGTAGCCAGTACAACTAAAGACATTCCTATTTCATCTCATTTCCTAAAGTAATTTGGACAGCTTAAATAAAATGTATACATATAAATATAAGCTAATAATGTTTAGATGAAAACTAACAAACCAAGATGAGGTAAAGATTATATATATTAAAATTTAGTATTGAACCAGGGGTGGTGGCATGTACCTGTTGTCCCCATTACTTGGGGGGCTGAAGCAGGAAGCTCACATGAGCCCTGGATTTCAAAACCAGCTCAAGCAACACAGTAAGACCCCATCTCTAAAAATAAAAAATAAAATAAAAAGTATAGTGAATCAGCCCATATTTGCTAAATGGAGCCGTCAACTTAGTTCTGAGCTTCCTAGTAGTTTAAGGATAAGTGAGAAGTTGCAAGCATTTTACCTCAGGGAAAAAAAAAATTTTTTAACTTAACTTTAAAATACTTTTTTTTCTGAGGGGCTGTAACTGAAGATAAAATGAGGAAAGAAGTAGAATGGGCCTACCACCAGTGTTTTTTGAAACTTTCTCTGTTTCTTCAAATGTATGTATATAAAAGATTCTTGCATAAGTACTTCATACAATGAGGAAACTCTGCATGATCAAATTCAAGAAATAGAAAATATGTTTCCCAAAAGGAGAGTTAAAAGAATTGGATATTATGATTCACAAAAGCAATTTTCCCTCATTTATGTCAGAAATAGAAAAATATAGCTAATTATTTTTCTATTCTCCATATAGATATCATTTCATTATTCCTAGTAACTTTATTTTCAGAGGAATGAATGAGATTCATTGAATTGGAGAGAAGTCACATGGATGTCTGATTTGTCCAAGATGCAGAAATTCAAAGGTCATTTCAACTATCAGAATCCAGAAAATATAAATCTAGTTATTTGTTACACTCACTGATGAAGCAACCTTAAGGAAATATTACCTTAAATGTAAAAATTACCAAGAAAATAATATTGTGATTAGTCATATCACTATAGATTATGTGAAGCAACTTATGAAAGATTTTATGTTTATTTCTTTTCCCATTAAGTTTTTTTGTACATTTAGGGTATAAAGTACAGTTACATTCATCATTGGGATCTTGTACCATTACATGAGTATCTTGGTTCTTATTTTTTTCCCCTTCCCCTGCCCTCCCTTCACCCC